GGAGGGTGTGGAGATGTGTCAAATCATCTTCTGGTCCTTTGTAGCCATTGGTCTATGGAAATTACTCTGCCTGGGATTTTGGCTGGTTAGCATTGCTATGCAGGTCCTGTCCGTTTAATTGTGCGTCGTGGCGGGAGGAATAAATGACAGAGTATGACTTTGGCGTTGAGTGAATAGGAGGAGAGTGCCTATGGGGGCCAGACTTGTTTGTCGTATCATAACTCACAAATCTGTGAATTGCCTCTTCTTTTTCTTAGTATTCAGTGCTTCGTTCCTCAAGTTTAGATTGGAGCTCACACCAGGCACCTGGACTTGTGCCTGTTGTGTAACTGCTATTTTGTGTTAAGAAAATAACAAAGCTCTTAAATACTGAGGATCTTTTAGTTATTATGAAAGAGCTTCTACTTTTAATAGTAACAGTCATTGTTACATTTCCCCCTCTCAGAAAAGAACTTGGCTGCCAAGGAATCCTTAAAGAGCACAGATTGAGTGACAAGGACACAGAACAAAGGCGAGATCCCAGGGGTGAAATGAAGAAGTTCTGTAAATAGCTGTGCTATTTTCCTTTGAAATGTCTGGCACACCGTGTGGTGCCGTGGTCGAGCACCGAGGGGCTGTGCGTCTAACTCTGCGATGGAGGTTCCGCGTTGAATCTCAGAGCAGCATACGTGGCAAGGGCATCTAGATCTTTCTGGAGTTTTAAGCTATTTAAATGACAAACTTCTTTTAATTTAGCATAGCTGGAAACTAATCCTGCCATATCCCTGCGTTCAAGCGGTCACGGCTTCACCTTTAACGCCTGACCCCCTGAAAAGCTAAAACAGGAACGAATGGAAGCTCTGAGCTGCTCTCAGAAATTTGGAGTGTGCTGAGCAAAACCTACATAAGACGAAAAGATTGAAATGTTTCCATTTTCTGCAGTGTGTGAGGGAGCAGGAGTCTGAAGGTGGAGTGAGTTGGGGAAGGAGCTGTATTTCTGTGAAAATTTTAGTAAATTTTCTGGGGCTTTTTTTCCACCTGTGGAGAAGACCTAGGACCTAAAAGCATTACATGGTAATATTGATTCAAAAATTAAATCACCAAAACCTTGCTGAGAGAAATTATAGATCTAAACAGTTGGAGAGAGATATCATGTCCATGGGTGAGAAGACAATACTGTTAACAATGTCAGTTCTCGCCAAATTGATATGTAGATTCAATGCAATCCCAATCAATGTGCTGAAATGGACAAACCGACTCTGAAACTCACATGGAAATGAAAAGGAGTCAAAACAGTCAAAACGACTTTGATAAAGAACAAAGTTGGAGGACTGACACTCCCTGATTACAGGAGTTGTTATAAAGCTACGAGAAATCAGGACAGTGTGGTTTTGGCATCAAGACCCCCAGACAGACCAATGGATCAGAGTGGAAAGCCCAGAAACAAACCCGCACATGTACAGCAACTGATTTTTCACAAAGGTGCAGAGGCAGTTCAATTGTTTTGGGACAATTAGATACAGTTGGAGCAATTGGAGATCCACATGCAAAAACAAGAAAAGAACTTCAATAAGTCCTCATACTATACACAAAAATTAACTCAAAATATATCACAACCTAAGTGTAAAACCTACAGCTGTGATACTTCTAGAAAGGAGGAGAAAACCCTTGTGCCCTTGAGCTTGGCGGCAGAGATGTCCAAGACACGAAACCAAGAGCACGATCCATGAAAGAGTCAGCTGATGGCTTGGACTTCATCAACATTAAGAGCTTCTGTTCTTCAAAAAATACTATCATGAGAATGAAAAGATAAGCCACAGACTGGGAGAAAATATTTACAAAATCATGAATCTGAGAAGCGATTTGTATGCAGAATATATAAATAACTCTCAAAACTCAATAGTAAGGAAATAATTTTAAAAATAGGCAAAATATCTGAACAAATATTTCACCAAAGAAGAGATTCAGATGACAAATAAGCACGTGAAAAGATACTCAACATCATTAGTCATTAGAAAAATGCAAACTAAAACCACAATCAGATACTATTCATGCCCATTAGAATGGCTAAAATAGGAGACTGCCCACACCTGGTGTTGGTGAGGATGTGGAGGACCTAGAACTCCCACACTGCTGGTGGGAATGTAAAATGGCACAACCACTTAGGAAAATAATTCAGCAGTTTCTTTAACAGTTAAAAGTACACCTGCCATACAATCCAGCCATTTTACTCCTAGGTTTGTATCCAAAAAGTGAAGTTCCCATAGACTTGTACACAGATGTTCATAGCAGCTTCATCTGTAGTAGCCAAAAGCTTGAAACAACCCAAATGTCCATCAACAGGCGAATGAATAAAAAAAACTGTGGTCCAGCCATACAGTAGAATACTATTCAGCAATATAAAGGAATGAACTACTGATACACATTACAGCATGGATGAATCTCCATATAATTATGCTGAGTGCAAGAAGCCAAATTAAAAAAAAATAACAGTATGTACTATATGAATCCATTCATATAAAACTCCAGGAAATGCAAACTAATGTGAAGTGACAGAAGGGGCTCAGTGGCTGCCTGGGGACAGGGCATGTGGAGAAGGGTGGGAGGGAGGGATTGAAAAAGGGCACAGGAGACTTGGGGATGATGGATCTGTCCATTATCTTCATAGTGGTGGTGGCCTCATGGTTGTGTACATATGTCAAAATGTTTCAAATTTTACACTGTAAAAAGAGCATTTTAGGGCCGGCCCGGTGGTGTAGTGGTTAAGTTCGTGTGCTACTCTTTGGCGGCCTGGGGTTCACAGGTTTGGATCCTGGGCACGGACCTATGCGCCGCTCATCAAGCCATGCTGTGGTGGCATCCTATATAAAGTAGAGGAAGGTGGGCACAGATGTTAGCCCAGGGCCAGTCTTCTTCAGCAAAAAAAGAGGAGAATTGGCAACAGATGTTAGCTGAGGGCTAATCTGCCTCCCCTCCCCCCACAAAAAAAAGAGCATTTCATTCTTTCCGGGGTCCCCAAGACCACCGATATGTTTAGCGATTTACTAGGACTCGGAGCACTCGGCGTATAGTTGTACTTGTGGCTGAGATTTATTACAGTGGCACAGTCAGCACACACAGCCAGATCAGCGAGGGAAGAAGGCATCAGGAAGGGTCTGAGGAATCCACGTGCGGGCTTCCAGTGCTCTCTCCCCCCCGTGGGTAGTCACACGGAGCACACCTTCCCTCCAGCAGCAGAGGTGCAACCACAGGTGTACAATGTTTATGCCCATGGAACCCACGTAAGATTCAGGGCTCAGGGTTTTATGGGGGTTGGTCATCTAGGCACCCCCTGCCCACCACTATTTCAGATTCCCAAAAGGAAAGCAGGTGTTCAGTGCCCCAGGCAGGCAAAAGAACCCTATCAGCTGTTCCCATGTGCCTGCCAAGGGCTGTCCTTACGAGCAGGCCTTTGGAGACAAAGTGGTCTCAGGACCATTAACTGTCTTCTGCGCTCAGCTATACCTCAGTAGAACTGTTTAAAAAGTCATCATATGTTAGCTCAGGGCCGGTCTTCCTCAGCAACAAGAGGAGGATTGGCATGGATGTTAGCTCAAGGCTGATCTTCCTCACAAAAAAAAAAAGAGTGGAAATACTTTAAAAAGTCATCACATAAGTTCATATGAGCTAGCACAAGGCAACGGTGATTAATTTATTGAAAACGGGATAGACTATAAAAATAGCAATTTCCGACTTGGGGAAGACCAATATGGTGTGGTCTTCATTACCCGGAATGCCTTATGCCCTTAAATCCTTTTTTCGTAGTAACATGGGCTATTAATAAATAAGTAAAATTAGGATGCTTAGCAAATGAGAGCTTCTAATTATTTTTACTCTTTAACAATATGACTTTTCATTTGAACTGTATTTGAAAATCTTGCCCAAGTATATAATTTTTATTTTTTCATAAAAAAATTCCTTGACTGATAGTCATTATTTTAACCATTGGTTAACTGATATGACCCAGCTCTACAGCAAATAAAGGTGAGGCATTGGTGTTGAGGTTATAATTACCTCATGCCCTGGGCAGGTTCTGCCCAAGGACGCACCTAGTTGAGGCTGAGTGGAGCTGCAACCCATCTGTACTTTGACGGCCGGCCCGTGAGCCATGGGCACCGAGAAAGGGGCACGTTGTTCTGGTTTGCACAGAGGTGCCGTGTGGCTGACTGTGGCCCTGTTCACACGTGTCCTGGAGGTTTTCCCCCAAAATGCTGCCTGATATTGGCAAGCTTGCTGGTGAACATGTCTGTCTTTCTCCTTAAAGAAATCCAGCGGATAACTTTGGGTTGATCATTGTCTTGACCCAGGACTCTGCTGGGTACAGCAGTGTGTGCTGGAAAGGAGCCAGCTACTCCCGATGCCCGCCTGGGGCCTTTCCTCTCTAGTTTGGCCCAATTGCCCTTGAAAGGCAGGTGAATTTAGGGTACGTTGTTCTTTTTGTCACTCTGGAGGATGCCTGGCGTCTCTGCTGTGTCTGGATCCCATTATTAATATCCCTAGCCAAGATTTCTGTGTGTCTGTAGCAATAAAAAATTTGGAGAAAAGCAACTCCTGTGGCTGCTCTGAGTGAAACTTTTGCTGTTGCTGAGTAATAAAGTTTTGGAAAGGGGAAGTAAGCCTTCTCACCTCCAAAGATACGGTTTAAAAGATTCACCTTTGAAACAAATAGAAAATATCTGACAGTCATACCTTAGCTTCCCGTCAGGGATGCTCAGCTATGGACGCCCCCTGCACCCCCAGTATTTCTCTCAGGCCTTGAGCTGCCGGCTGCGTGCATGACCGAGCACCCAGCAATGGCGCTGAGCCGCCAAACGACATGGAGAAGCGTAGCAGTCTGTCAGCAGAAAGGTTCTGTCGGGAAACTCAGTTTTGGAAATCTGCACTCCCCCCTCCCATTTCTTCTCTGTGGCTCACATTCCTTTCCTCCCTTCAAGTTCTCTTCCTAAGGAAACTTAAAGCAGATCTCTCTCCCCTTTTCGTAGATGCGAACGACGCGCAAGGTCTCTGTGTGGCCAGTGGGCCTGGTTGGCGGGCGACGCTACGAACGTCCCTTGGTGGAAAACGGCAAAGTGGTTGGTTGGTACACCGGCTGGAGAGCAGACCGGCCCTTTGCCATCGACATGGCAGGTGAGGAGTGTGGAGGGTGACATTTATCCCACCCCATTTGTAACAGGGCACCAGAGGAAGGAAGCTTTAGAAGACCACTTTAGTGAAAACCCTGGATCTTATCATATTCAGCAGATGAACTGTTTAAGTAAACTTTCAAAACAGGCTCTTTGGTTAATTCAGGTGGAAATTGATTTTATGGGTGATTAGAAAAGACTCATTCCGCTCCATTGTGTCACCTGGCCGTGTGTCCAGCCCTTTATCCAGCAGACATTTACGGGCCGGGTCTGGGTTGGCATTGGACATTCAGGACCTGGCTCCTGCCTCACAGGGCTCTGTTGACTACCTTTTGGTACCTCTTTCTAGAAGTCCAGTTTGTTATAACATATCACGTGCTTGTAGATAAATTTAATAGTGATACGAAATTGACAAGCTAATCATTTTAATGCCTATTGATAAATTTAGTGCTTATTGATACATTTAATAGCTAAAATATAAATTTGGATTACTGGTTTTTCAGGCATTTATTAACTCTGAGTATAACTGTCTTTTAACATTTTTGTTCTAATCAACCAACTGAATTGGATAAGACCTGTAGTAGACCACAAATTCTAAAATGCTGCTTTATCATCAAGTGACTCATTGTCTGTGGGTTATATAGAATGATGCCTGTGATAACTGTGGAAGGGTGCAGTTTGAAACATGAGGCTTAGAGGCAGAAAAATCACTGACATCTATAACCTAGAAGATGGAGGCAGAAAAGCTTCAACATCGATCTCGTCTGTCTTCAGCTCTGAAGCACAGCCCTGTCTGTCTGTCGCCTGTGCTTGGTCAATCGTGTGTGCATCTCCCGACTGGGGTCAGAATCCCGCTGCTCAGAATTCTGAGGGGTGAAGGCCGTCCTCTGAACTGAAGTCCTCACTTCTGTTCTGACAATAGCATAAATTGGAGGAGCACGGTTATGAAGCACACGGGAGTAAGAGCTCGTGGATGGAGGTGTGAGGGGTCTGTCGCACTGCATCATGGGAGAAGACAAACTGGGACGTTCTTACTCCCGTTTAACAAACGCTTCCTAAGTGCCAGTTCTGTGGGACTGCATCGTGGTCTGTGACCTCTGGGACACTCTGGATCTCTTACCCTGCCCTGGTCACCCTCTGCCATGCCCCGCTCTGCCTCCTGACCTCTCCCTCCTCTTCTGACCCTAGCCTTCCCTTCAGTCTTCAGTTCTTGCAGCCCCAGGGCCGAGCTGGTATCTCAACAAAAGCGTTCACCTGAAGGCAGACGGACAGGTGGGTGGGCCACACGTGGACGGTCCCGAGGCTTCTCAAGGGAGGCCTCTCCTCCATCAAGGCTGAGTTGGTGGCTCTGCAAATATAAGGCTGACCATAATGTGTCTTTTGAGAAGCAGGTTTCTTGTTGATCAGAAGTGTAACCTTGAGCAGAGCATCCAGAGAACATTAGGCAAAGTCTAGCTGTCTGGGACTTGGCTTCTCCTGGGTAAAACGAGGCAGAGGCGTGAGTGACCGCCGAGGTCTTCTCTAAGGTACCCTTCCTCATCTGGCTTCCCTTCTGGAAGCTCAAAGAGCAGCCCAGGTCCCTGGGCTCCAGCTGAGGAGTCGTGATGCCTGAAGCAGCGGCTGATGGATGTTCGGCTCTTCTCCTTCCCAGAGCCTCGTTTCCACACAAGCCCCCCAGACGTGTCCCTTACACCCAGGATCTCGGCCCATTACCCTGCAAGGTAACTTCAAGGTGAGGGCAACTTGGACAACTCTGCCTGGACTTGATGCAAGAACTTGATGTGCAAGCTCAAGTATCCAGCAAACCCATTGAACATTCTGCACTGGTCGCCCCAGAATTTGGATCCCAATAGTTAGAGCTAAAATTCAAGAAAGGCGCATGGGTTTTGTGCATTCGAGCTGGCCCGTGAAAGGACGTTTGATGCTCTTTCACTGCCAAATTGTCTGGGAAACTTTTCTCCATGACATAACTGATGTTTGGATTTTTCTGAGCATTTCCATGTATTTTCAAAGCATAATATCTGTCACAAAATATGAATGATTTGCTTGTTTTGTATTAATTATCCTTGTTTTAAAATAGGAATAACATTTCTGTCTCTAAGGAAACAACCTCTGCCACATTAAATGATTTTCTTCACTTCACATATGAACTTGCTTTGAAAATTATTTTTCAGTAAATTATTGATATTTTTGGAAAACTTTAAGCGAGACTGATTTGGTTGATAAGATAGCGATTCTGGTTTTGAGGCAGTTTGTTCTCATTTTAAAACTTGAAAATTCACAGCTTGTTTAGACGCCACGTAAGAGTCATTGATTCTCTGTGGGAAGAGGGGAAAGGCCGTTTGGACCTTCATGTCCAAATGGTACTTCCCACCTATTTTCAGGTTACATCAACACTCACAATATCGAGAAAGAGAGGGGAGCTGGAAGCCTCCTCCCTCCTGTACCCAAGACAGTCCAAGGAGCACTTCTTAGAAAATGGTCTGTGATCTCTGAGTGGGAGGGCTCGTTGGAGCCAGGGTCTCTCTTAGATTTCCGCAGCTGATTAAGAAACGTGGAGGAGGCCAAATGTAACATTTCCACAGGGGTCTTGCTTTGGGGGGTTGAGCATGTTCGGTGGGAGCCCCTCAGGGTCTGTCCTGTTTGTACTCCTGTGAAGTCAGCCTAGCCCATCACTAGAAGCTCATTCAAGTACCTCACATTACAACTGTCATGTTTGTGTCCTCCAGGGCGTTTGACTTAGTATCTCTCTGTATTTCGCCATATTGGACTTGACAGATGCTGTTTTTGCTCTCAGATGAGGAAACGTTGTTTTGAAATTATCTTGTATGCACAACACTAGTGGCAGAAGTAAAGATTGTTTCTGTTGTACTGGGGGAAAAATAAAAAAAAATTTCTCGTGATTGATACTGCGAAAGAACTTAAGATGCCCACTCACAGACAGAAGGAAAGCATCGGGCAGCCCTGCGCGGGCAGCAGTGGGCCGCTGGCCTCTGCAGTCAGTCGGTGGCCACACTGCTCTGCCAAGCCAGTGGGATGCAGGAATATTTCCACTGGTCTGTGCCTCGGGCTTCAGTCCCTCACCTTGGGCATCTGACCACTGGCTGGTTCTTACTGACTAGGAGCGAGATGTCCACAGTTTTTAGCTCTGTTTTGAGGTCAGGGAGTCACTTTCAGGTGACAGACTCATTTGGACACTTCCAGGGAGGTGTCACTAAGAACCAACACTTGAAAGAACTGAGCTTAAAGTAATCTTCAGCCGTGCAAGAAGGGTGGATTTGTTCAAATTCAGAACCTAAGGCTAAGATGTTGATTTTGAGTTCTCAACATTGCAGGCACCTTATTCTCAACTCGAGAAGGTGGCAGACAGGGCGCTGTCCTCCTCCAATGATAATGTGTATAGTTGCAAGTCGAGTGCCTGGCGCACAGTAGGGATTCTGTCCCAGTAAAAATCCAACTGGGTGCAGTGCTGTTCAGCTCTGGCACTAACCACCCAGAGTTACACAGACCCACAGGTTAGAGGGCATGGTCCCCACAAGACTGCCCTTACCTCAGACACCAGCCACACTGGGGGTCCCCAGGCCATCTGCACTTTTGACCAACTGGCTATAAATATGATGTTTCCCACAAGGCTCTCAGGTTTGATAATTTCTTAGAAGGACTCACAGAACTCAGGATAGCGCTCTACTTATTATTACAATTCTATTACAAAAGATACAAATTAGGACCAGCCAATGGAGAGACACACAGGGTGAGGTCTGGGGGAGGACGCAGAGCTTCTGTGCTTTCTCCTTGTGTGCTCAGGATGATCACCCTCCCAGCACGTTAGTGCGTTCACAGCCCGGGAAGCTCCGCTGAACCTCTGTGTTCAGAGTTTTTGTCGCAGCTTCATTATGTAGGCACGGTTGATTAAATCAGTGGCCATGTGATTGAATTCAGTCTCTAGCTTCAGTCCCCAGAGGCCGGGATGGCCCAAAGTTCCAAGCCTCTAATCACATGGTTGGTTTTTCTGGTGACCAGCCCCCATCCTGAAGCTACCTAGGGCCCACCACGAGCCACCCCATTAGCCTAACAGAGTCACTCCTGTCACTCGGGAAGTTCTAAGGCTTTGACAAGCTCCTTGCCAAGAACCTGGCACAAAGGCCAGACAAGTTTTTTGTCATGCCCTGGGCTCAGTAAAGGATAACTTTTCATGTCCTAGAGTGTCTCCTGCGTCCCCGATTTATCGTGCTTTCATCCACAAAGGCTAAGGGGGTGTTGTGTGATGTTTCAGGGTCACTTTCAGCCTTGTCTGTGGACTTTTCAGGACTGATAAAAATGAGACGTGGTTGTCATGTGATAAAACTGTCTCTCACATGTGGCTTACAGAGGGATGGGAAGTCTAGGAGGGACCTTAGTGTTCCGGCCTGGAGTCCTGTGGGCAAGGGTGTGATGAAGGCCTGGGAGTGGACGAGCTCCCACAGGGAGACCTGTAACGGCCTAGGATTGCGTCCTGGGAGCAGTTATTTAAAGTGGCTGCAGGGGGAGGAGGCAAGGAGGGGGGCAGGGCCCAACGAGAGGGTGTTGGGGTGGACTGGATGCAGTCCCCAGAGAGAAAAGGTGGGCAAACCATGAATTTGGTTGTTGGATGTGGAAGAGGAGGGTGCTTGGTGAGTGTGGGGGTGGGAGCCAGGAGCACGTAGAGGGTGGTTGGCACCAACTAGGACCTCGAAGACTGTTCCTGGAACAAGGGATATATGAAAGAGTGAAGGGCCCTCATTCAGGAGGAGCAGAGGGTCAGCAGAGTGTCCGAGGAAAGTCAGGTTTCCAGCAGAGCCAAGAGGGAGAGGAAGTTCGCTCATTGAAGGGGTTAAGGAGGTTCCATTTTGGTGGGAGGGCGATTAGAGAGGGTGCTGTGAAATGAGTGGCTGGGAGGCTCTGGGAGGGGGGTGTTGGGAGAGGGGGGTGGGGTGACTTCCGGGGTCCCTCCTGCTCCAGGAGGTGTGGGCTTTGACAGGTTCTGAC